ACAGCATTCCAAATCGAAAGAGGAAAACAACTTGGAAGATAATAATAATGGTGGGCCAACCTCCAAAGTACTTCCTGCTCCAGGGACAGGTCAAGGCTTGAGAACTATGGCCAGAACCTCCGGGTAGGACACCTCCCCCTGCCCTCAGTGACTCCCCCCCGGAAGCCCTCACAGCACTGCAACCTCGCCGGCTTCGGGAAACAGCAATCCTGGGAGCTACCATGAAGGTGAACCTTTCCTTCAGAAGCCAATTTAAATTTAGCAGGAATCCTGCAGGCATGCAAACTCACCGCTGGCTTCTTCCAGCCAGGTGTTCCTAAATCTCTGAATCCAAACTGAAACCACAGGAAGTGATAACTTGACAGGATTATAGTAGAAAAACAGCTGGCATCAGGACAATGCAGTAATATGTGTAAAAATTAAAAATACTTATAACCTATGACCTGTACCATATTCTAAAAATTATTCCTACAAGTGTGCAAAGATATCTATACAAACAGATCCGCTGTAACACTATTTGGAGGAGCAAAAAACTGAAAATAGCTAAATAGATTTTAAAAAGCTGTGATAGACTTATACAATGAAATACTAGTTGGCTGTATAAAAAAAGGAAATGTTACCCTTTGTGACAGCATGGATGGGCCTGCAGAGCATTATGCTAAGTGAAATAAGCCAGTCAGAGAAAGACAAGTACCATATGATTTCACTCTAGCCAGGAGTGAAATCAAAGGAACAAAATGAACTAGCAAGCAAAATAGTGACAGATGCATAAATAAAGAACAGACTGGCAACTGTCAGGTAGGGGGATGGCTAGTGGGGGGGGGGGGAGAAGTTTGAGCAAAAAATAAAAAACTCATAGACACAACTGTGTGGTGACTGCCTGGACAGGGGTGGGGCAGAGGGTGGGGATGAGGGGGAGGGGTGGAGGGAGAGGGAGCGGGATATAGTGGGAATAAATGATGGACAAAGACTTGACTTGGGATGGTAAACACACAATACAGTGTACTGATGATGTGATGTTAGAACTGAGCACCTGAAATTTTGTTAACCAGTGTCACCCCAATAAATTCAATAAATAAATAGAATAAAATACTATACATTGATACAAAAGAATGAAGAAGGAAAAGTTCCAAGTTCTATCATTAATTGCACTTATGTAGAAGTATTGTATAATACAGAAGTGAGTGGAAACAACTGTATAAAATCTTAAAGGATATATACATTTTGGCATATTCACAAGTACATAATGCTTGTAATAAGCTAAGAACTGTTCTAAGTGCTTTTCACATAAAAACACATTTAATCTGCACAACAGTCCTATAAAACAGATAATATTACCCTTATTTTACAGATACAGGTAAAAAGACATTTTTACTTGCCCCAAATTAAATGTCACAGGAAGTAAGGAGTAGAGCTGGGACTCAAACTCAAGAGTCTGCACCAGAGAAGGTGCTTTATACTTTTTCTGAGCATTTAAGTATCATTCTGGAAGGCACACAATAGAGTTATAGTGATGACCTTTGGGCAGCGCAGCGGGATTAGTGATGGAAGGTGATTAGAGGAAGGCGTCACATTTCTTCCTGAATTTTCTGACTTAAGAGAAAAATATCAATAGTGGTTGATAGTGAGATTAATGGTATACTGAAATATTTTCCTTCACTTTTTCTGTATAAAACATTCTAATCAATGTTCTTTAATAAATCTACGATGTGTTAATGAGAAGTAAGCTGGTTTGCCCTGAGCTGTTAACAAGAGACACCAAGGCTATGTAAAAACAGTGTGTATAGATTCCTGTTAAATTTATCATTAGCTTCCCACTGCTCAAGAGTTATTAAGCTGAAAAGGTATAATCCATTGTGTTTGATTCCTTATAGTAAAATAAAAGCTATCTTCCCTCCCCCTTTTCAGGAAGCTTAAATTAAAAACAATTTTTAAGGCCAACACTATTAAGGAAAACACAAAAATGGCAGATGGAAAAACAGTATGATCATTCGATTCCTTTATGTAAATACTGAACTCTGGTGAGATACTTAGGACCAGTCTAAATAAATTGCTGATGCCAAAGTAAATTACTTAAACCAAAATTAAATTTTTCAAAAACAAAAATATTGTTGAGATCTTTTATTTTTCTCTAGATTTATATTTTCTCTAGATTTATAGAGTACAGTACTAATAAAGTCAAGGCTGAAATTCCAATCTTGCTTTGAGAAACCATCTATATTGCCTAAAGAAACATTATTTAATAGTTGAACTGCAGCCCTAACCCTTGGGCTAGGCCCATAGCTGAGGGAACAAGGGGGCAAATTCATTGGCACTAGTGAAAAGCAAAAAGCAAAAAAATCCCGGAGCCCACTAATGTCTAATTAACATTAGATTAGCAACTGAAATAGAAACAGCAGCAGCAGACACTTATAGAGTTTAAACCCTCCTACTTGATGAACAAACATCTTGTTTGTTTCTTTTCACTCTGAAAAGTGTCCTGCTCTGGACAATAAAATAAATGGTCACTGAACTTCAAAGTGCTTTACATACAGTATCACACTTCATCCTTGAAATAACCCTCTAGTATGTATTATTATCTTCCTTTACAGATCTGGGTGTTACCTCTGCAGTCATAGGAAAATATAAACAATTACATTAGAAAGTCATAGTACAGACCCATTGTTTTGTCACACTGTTCTGAGGCATATTTAAAATTATTTCAAATTTTTACAAGCATATATCCATGCATCTGATTTTTTTAAAAAAGACCATTAAATGTCAAAACCAACAAGCTCTATTAAATGCAAAGTACAGACATATCCAGCACCCAGCACCCCTTCATCTCCCTTCTGTTGCTCTGGCATATCAATATACCTACCCAATGTTCTCTATACCGCAAAAGGGCTTCTGAATGATTTCTATTAGGGGACTACCACCACCCTTCAAATTAACACATACAAAATGCAAACTGTAAACACAGTTTAAATTAGCAGTGATAACATCCGAACTGCTTTCCAGGTGGCCAAATGCTGGAGTGCAACAGGAGAGAATGGCCTTGCCAATAACTGGTGAGGTGACAAACAGTAAGTCACTGACTGCACAAGACCTCCATTTTCCATCTATAAAATTGCAGTGTTGGTGATAATATCCATAGCTCAGTATCTATAGGTAACAATATGGGATCTCTCCTTCCCTGAGGCAGGGCAGTTCCCCAAATTAGTCCAGGTGTCCTTGTGTTGGGTTCAGGACATAGAGCTTGTCCTCCAAGAGGCCTAGGTTCAATTAGGTAGGCAGCCCCATATATAAGGCTCAGCACCTTGCCAGGCATCTCAGTCCGATTCCGAAGAGAAAGGTACTGGTACTCGTCCAAGAACTTCTTGGGAAAATGCCTGAAAAATGGGAGCCACCCACTTCTCAGTCTTCTCCACTGCCATCCCCCTCATCCAAGCCCATCTTGTCTTGTCTCTCCCGCTCCATTTCTGCCTTCCTAGAATCCATTCTCTACATAGCAGCCCAGAATGATCTAAAAGATCACTAACTTTTCTGCTTAAAACCCTCCAATCATTTCCAAGTACCCATGGAAGACTTCATCTCTTCTCCTCGGCCGGGAAGGCTCATTTATTTTTTCCAACCTTCTTTTGTGTCACCCTCCCGGCCCACCTCCACCTGGACCGTCTCCCTTATTCCCCTCAGGGGAGAAGAGCTTGTTTTCACATCAGGCCTCTGCACCAGCAGCTACCTCTACCTGGAATACTTTCCCAGAGTCTTCAGAGTTGACCCTGCAGGTCTCACCTTAAATATTCCTTTTGAGAGCAGCCATATCTGATCATTTTACCTAGTTGCTGGCAGGTATTCCCCATTACCCTCTCTTCCATCCTATCTAGTTCATTCTCAGAACTCACTTAACTTCGGAAATTATGTTCTTTTTCAGAAATTACTTATTTACTGATTGATTGCAGACAATTGCTTCTCTCCCAAGTAGGAGTCAGGCAGTGTATGTACAGCTCTAACCAGCCTCTGCATCATTCCTAAAAGGTATGCAATACATACTTGAGGTCTATCACATATCTCTCTCACTTCTGCTCGATTGTTACCAAAATCTCAATTGAAGAAACCACATTAATGAGGACTGACTGAAGAAGTTGTAGTTCATTCTTTCCTGCATGTCTACATATCCTTAAAGCAAACAAGCAAACAATTTTTGCTCTAAACCTCGTCAGTTTTGTTCAGTGGTTAGAGAGTCAGCCTGAGACCATGGGGTCCTAGGTTTGATGTTTAGGTCAAGGGCCATGTATCTCAGTTGCAGGCTTGATCTCTGTCCCAGCCAGCCTGTGTGTGGAAGGCAACCAGTTGATGTGTCTCTCCCAAATCGACACCCTGCCCGCACCCACTCCTCACCCTGCCCGCACCCACTCCTGCACCCTGTCCTGGCCCCCTGGACCCCACCTCAGTCCCGGGCCGGACCTCCCCGCGACGGAGCCCGCGGTGGGGCTGTCGGTTCCGCCCGGACTCCTCCCGGGGTCACGGCGGGCGCTGACACCCGCTCGCGGGTCGCGGACTCCCCTCCCGCCCTCCCCGCTGGCCGCACCGCGCCCTCCGAGCCCCCTTCCCGCAGGCCGCCCGCCCGCCCTGGGACCCCGGAGCGAGCCTCCCCTCCGGTCCGCGGCTCCCGGGGACCACGAGCGCCGCGTCTCCGCTGGCCCGCGCCCCTTCCGGGCCCGCCGCGTGCGCTCCGCCGCCCCCCGCCCGGTGTCTGTGCTCACAGCGGCCCGGGCTCGCGGGGCGGCCGGTGCCGGGGGCCGGGGCTCTTGGGGCGGCGGGGACCGGGGACCTGGGACCGGGGGCCAGGAGCGGCGGGGCGGCGGGGCCGGGACGGGGGCCGGGGGGCCGGGACCAGGGGCCGGGGCTCGCGGGGCGGAGGGGGACCGGGGACCGGGAGCCGGGGCCGGGGCTCGCGGGGCCGGGGCCGGGAGCGGCGAGGCCGGATCCAGGCCCGGCGCTCGGGCGGCGGCGCTCACCGTCAGTCACGGCTCCCATGGCGTGCGCGGCGGCGGCGGCGCGGGCTGAGGCGGCGGTTGGCGGCGGAGGTCAAACTCCCACAATGCAGCCGGGTAAACAGCATGGAGGCGGAGGCGGCGCCCGCTGCCGCCCGCTCCGACGCCTGAGCCGCGCCGCCGCCGCGGGACCCGCTCCCCGGCTGCCCACTCCGGGGCGGCCCGGCCGGCGCGCGTGGAGCCTGCCCGCGGCGGCCCGCCGCCCCCGCCGCCACGCCCGAGGCCGCGGGACCCGCCGCCAGGTGAGCGCCGGGCGCCGGGGCGGCGGGGGCGGCGGCCGCCGGGGTCGAGGCCCGCGCCTGCCCGGGAGGGACCGCGGCCCGGCCTCCGCGTGGGGCCGGGTGGGCTCGCCCCGCGGTGGGGCGGGCGGGCGGGGGCGCCTGGACCCCGGAGCCGGGGGCGCGGGGCGGGGCGGCCGGCGGAGGGTCCCCGCGAAGTTCCGCCCTCGCGCCGGCGGGTCGGAGCGCGGGGCGCGGCCGGCGGCCGGGAAGGCCGGGCCCGGGGCGGGCGCTGCTGCTCCCCGCGGGGGTGGCGGGGCGGCGGGCCGGGGGGCGGTCGGAGCGGGGACACTTGGGGACCTGCGGGCGGAGTTGGCGGCGGGGCTGGGAGAGCGCCGTGCCCGCCGCCGTCCTCACCTGGCGGCCCGGCGCCGGTCGGGGATGGCGTGCTTGTATTTATTTATTATCTATTTATCGGTTATTTGTTTATATTTCTCTTTGACTAAAAAGAAATTAAAAGCCTCAGTGACTGTCCCCATCAAAGGGGAAGTTGAAAGTGAAGGGAGAGGGAGGTGCTTGATGGGAAGCGTCGCCTCGCGTGTCCAGTTACTCGTTTCCGGAGCACCCCGCGGGCTACAGGGCATCTACCCCAAAAGTCACTGGATGCCATTTCGGCGAGTTTCTCGCAAAAGGCAGCCTTTGGGGTGGCGAGCGGTGCGGAAGGACACCGGTGGGACCGGCTCCGTCCGCCCCAGCGCGTGCCCGGGCCTCGAACCCGGGCTGGCTGTGCCCCGGAGAGGGGGCTTGCCCTGCGGCCCCCGTCCGTCCACCCCCCCCCCCCCCCCCGCACCCCGTTCTCGCACCCCGCACCCCGCTCCCGCCTGCAGTTCCGGAAGGAAGCCGGTCTGCGGGATGGATCTGGTTGTGTCCCTTTCTCTGCAGAGGCTGCTTCATCCTCCCTGCTTCTCCCAGGTCCCAAAGGAGCGGAGCTGTACCTGCAGAGGTGTGACCAGGAAGTGTGTTCATTTAATCTCTAGTTAGAAACCAGCTCGTGTCAAAGTGTATTCCTCCATATGAGGTCGAAACTTTGTTATACCCTTCAACAGTGCTCTGAAGAATTAGCACCTTTGACTTTTATGTCGCACAGGGCGTGAAGATTTTTGAGGTATAACTTAAGGTGTGAAACCTCCCCTGGCGTTGAAATAATTTTGGCCTAAGTACTGGCAGCTCCTGTTCTTGGTTTTTAGAAGGAAGGAAGATTCTCTGACCAAAGGCATTACTTTAAATCTTCGGGACTACTGCGCAGCTCAGTGGTTGAGCGTTGACCTCTGAACCAGGTCAGGGTTGGAGTCACGGTTCCATTCCCTGTCAGGGCACATGTCCAGGGAGCCTGGGCTTGATCCCCAGTAGGGGGCCTGCAGGAGGCAGCCAACCAATGATTCTCTCTCATCAGTGATGTTTCTCTCCTCCCTTCCTCTCTGAATCAATAAAAAGCATTAAATCCTAAGTACTAAAAATTTAACTTGAAAGTATCAATTGATTATCTGTCAATCCCAAGTGGCACTTTTGTGGGGATCATTATTGTTTATAAGGTAATTGGCAAGTGGTGAAATGATGTTCTTTTTTAAGTTATTTGTTACTTGGTCTTATAATCATGATCTTGACTTTGAAACAGTATATAGTGATTTAAAATAATCATTGGTTCTGGCAAGGTACCTCAGCATAGTCCCAATATGCCAAACTTGTGCGTTCAGTCTGGGCATATACAAAAAGCAATCAATGAACACATAAATAAGTGGAACAACAAATCTCTTTCTCTCTCTTCCTATCTCTGAAATCAGTAATCTAAAAAAATCTTTAATGTTGTCTATAGACAAGTATCACTGCCCCCTGCAACTGGTAAATTTTCCGGAGACATTCTACTCACAGATGGCATTCTGACTGCTTTTGTAAGTTCCTTTTGTAACTTACAACTTTGTTGGACAGCTCTAGAAGTGTTCTATCGATAGTTAAGAGCAAGAGAGATTGAAACAACTTTAAAGTTTGAGTTATACCTGAAAATAAACATTTCTGAAGGTTCTTTTTTTAAAAATATATTTTATTGATTTTGTACAGAGAGGAAGGGAGAGAGATAGAGAGTTAGAAACATAGATGAGAGAGAGTCTTCGATCAGCTGCCTTTTGCACACCCCCTACCGGGGATATGCCCGCAACCAAGGTACATCCCCTTGACCGGAATCGAACCCGGGACCCTTCAGTCCCCAGGCCAACGCTCTATCCATTGAGCCAAACCAGTTTCGGCTTCTGAAGGTTCTTAACTCAAATGGCAAGTAACATCAAAATTTGAGCTTTTATGAACTTTTAAAAATTGCTTTGTCAGCCATATAATTTAACTCCCAGTTGCACTGACAGATCGATGTGTTGAACATTTAAGAATTATTTTAATGGACTTTTCTTCATATCATATATAGTGAAAGGACATCTTCAGGTGAATATTAGGAATGGTCTCTTTTTTGTGTAATCAATTAAACTGTTAAAGTAGGAAGGACTCAAGCTCTAGGCCATACTAACATTTATTTCTTTTCTAGCAATATCTCAGAGCAGAAGGAAGTAGATTTTAAGCTATGACAAACTGATTTGGTCTTTAAACTTATATGATCTTAGATTTGATGATTTACTCAATCATTTGATTCTTTGATATTACAAGAGTCTAGCTGAGAAAGTTTGAATGTTTGTTTAACTCTTTGAAATAATGTAGGCATTTCTATAATACTAGAGGCCCGTTTCATGAATTGTGCATCAGTGGGGTCCCTCGGCCTGGCCTGCAGGATTGGGCCGAAACCAGCTCTCTGACACCCCCATTTTCCGAGATGGTGTAGGCCAGGCCAAGGGACCCCACTGGTGCGTGATTGGGGCCTGTGGAGGGACGCAGGAGGTTGACCAGCAGGGGAGGGACTGTGGGAGGGCTCCAGGACATGCCCTGACTGTTTCGCTCAGTCCCTGTCGGCTCTACCCCAGCAGCAAGCTAACCTACCAGTCGAGCATCTGCCCCCTGGTGGTCAGTGCACATCTTAGCGAACAGTTGAGTGGCCTTAGCATATCATTAGCATATTATGCTTTGATTGGATGAACAGCTGACTGGACACTTAGCATGTTAGGGTTTTATTATATAGGATGCTTTTAAAGCAAGAGTTATCCTGTAGTCCAGGCGTCTTCAAACTACGGCCCGCGGGCCACATGCGGCCCGCAGAGGAGTCTGATCCGGCCCGCCAGGTTTTTTGGGCAGTGAGCGCAGCCGAGGTGTTACAGTAGGAATTAGTAGTTCATATAGTCCGGCCCTCCAGCTCTCTGAGGGACCGTGATCTGGCCCCCACTTTAAAAAGTCTGTGGACTTCTAGGGTCCATTAATAGGCTTCAAGAGATTCCTGAATCTCCTATTGTGACCCAAGTTTTTGTGTATGTTTCTAGGGAAAGGGCCTATAGTTTTGTTATAAAATAGGTGTGGGGCCCCTCCCCAAATTTTATATATCTATATCTATATCTATATCTATCTATCTATCTATCTATATACACACACACACACACATACATATATATATTTAAGTAAAGTGGGAGAATATTCTAGAAAAAGATAGGAAAAATTAGGTATTTGTGTCCAATATTTGCCTTTTATTTATTTATTTTTTTGTCCTTTTTAACCCTCACCTAAGGTTTTTATTTATTACAGAGGGAGAGAGAGGGAGAAACATCAATGTGAGAGAGAAACATGGATCATTTGCCTCCTGTACCCACCCTGACCTGACAATAAACCCACAACTTGGGCATGTGTCCTGACCAGGAACCAAACCCACAACCCTTCGGGGCACAGGATGACACTCCAACCAACTGAGCCACACTGGCCAGGGCAATACGTTACTTCTAAAGTTTCCTTTAGCCTACCCATGTGGACTTAGAGGTGCAAAAATGCACTTCTATTTTGTTCCCACAGCAAAGTGTGGCCTGTTAGTTGATAAACCACACAATAAAGGGCTTGACATACTATCTTGAGTGCAATGTGGATGTTTTTAAATTATATTTAAAAATTTAGAACAGAAAGATTGATGGTCTGTAAGCAGAGACTTGAGCTTGACTACCAGCCTCTGGAGCAAACATTTCATTCAGATATACTCTTATTATTCTCCAGCACATCTGAAATTTGGGAGGTAATTGCTCTAGAAAATGTGTTTGTGCGTTGGCAAGACAGCAGGGCATGATGGGAAAAATACAGATTCTGAGTTACAATAGACAAGCCTGGGTTCTTTCATTTGCTGTAACTGCTTAACTTGTCTGACTCTAGTTTCTCATCTGGATAAAGCTTACTTGGTAGAGATATTGGGAAAATGGCATGAAGGTTCCAGTATAAAACTCTGAGCCCATTTGCCCCACCGGAAGGACTTGGGAGCTAGATGTGGATAACCATTAATAAACACCTGAGGTAACTTGTATAAACAGGGTATATGGTGCTGATGTACATTATTTTCAAATAAATGTGGAAATATTAACATTGAAACTTTTAAAAAGTCAAGTTTTCAAAAATGAGTTAGGGTATAGTTCTTATGTTGTGGACATTTGTGGGAAAGTCGAAGGAAAATTGTGGTGCAGTTGACATGGCGCTGGGCAGAAAGAAACAATACCCACCCACCAGCATATAGCTTTCTCTTTGGGTGAGTTTTTCATTTCAGTTATGCTCTCCACTTGTAATTTAAATGAAGAATCTAAATTAAAAAACCACACGTGTATTTTCTAGTCCATCACCTCTAAAAAGGTTTATTCATGCCCCCCTCCCCCAACTTTCTGGAAGCCTCACAGGTACTCCAAGGATTTCATTAGTGGAAGTTATAACTGTAACTTGGCCTGTCTGATTCTGAGGGGCTTAATAGGC